ATGTCTCACTCCATAATCTCTGTATGCCTCAACCCTTAATATCTGTATGTCTCAACCCTTAATCTCTGTATTTCTCACCCCTTAATCTCTGTATTTCTCACCTCTTAGTATCTGTATGTCTCACCCCTTAATATCTGTATGTCTGACCCCTTAATATCTGTATTTCTCACCTCTTAATATCTGTATGTCTCACCCCTTAATATCTGTATATCTCACCTATTAATCTCTGTATGTCTCAACCCTTAATATCTGTATGTCTCACTCCATAATCTCTCTATGCCTCAACCCTTAATATTTGTACGTTTCATTCCTTAATCTCTACATGTCTCACCCCTTAATATCTGTATGTCTCACCCCTTAATCTCTGTATGCCTCACCTCTTAATTTCTCTATGCCTCATCCCTTAATCTCTGTATGTCTGAACCATTAATATCTTCATGTCTAATCCTTTAATATCTGTATATTTCACCCCTTAATCTCTGTACGTCTCATATTTACCTCTCTGTGTCTCTCATTCTATCTCACCGACACCCCACATTTAACACAGTGACATTGACCTATATTTCAACCCTCTCCTTCCTCTCACTCTCTACACCAATTCCTCACCTATGTTCACCCTTCTCTAACTGACTTTGTACCTCAAACTACCCTCAACCAAATTAAACTATTTAGTGGAATGCACAGTTTACCATTGTTCAGAAATGAAATATTAACTGGAATTCCATCAGATAAATAAATAAAAGGTATATTGTCTACTGAGTTCAAGACAAGGACACAGTAACACACACACACACACAGACACACATATTACACTCTATAGTACAGCTGTATGTCCTCCAACCATAACACTCTATAGTACAGCTGTATGTCCAACCATTACACTCTATAGTACAGCTGTATCTCCAACCATTACACCCTATAGTACAGCTGTATCTCCTCCAACCATTACACTCTATAGTACAGCTTTATCTCCAACCATTACACTCTATAGTACAGCTGTATCTCCTACTAAAGGACTGATGAGCTACCATATCAAATTGATTTAAAATTTTAAAACCATACATTTATTAAAATAAATTATAGACAGCTTAATAAACAAGAACATGAATTATATATTTTTTCCAAAATCAAAAAGTTGAACAACTTTTTTGCCCATATGATACTTAAAGCAATATATTTAAAAGTACCAAGATTTACAGAGATATGGTTTACAGATTTACAGAGATATGGTTTACAGATTTACAGATTAACAGAGATATGGTTTACAGATTTACAAATTAACAGAGATATGGTTTACAGATTAACAGAGATATGGTTGTAAGTTAATTGTACCCAGATTTACAGAGATATGGTTGTTAGTTAATTGTACCCAGATTTACAGAGATATGGTTTACAGATTTACAGAGATATGGTTGTAAGTTAATTGTACCCAGATTTACAGAGATATGGTTTACAGATTTACAGATTTACAGAGATATGGTTGTAAGTTAATTGTATCCAGATTTACAGAGATATGGTTGTAAATTAATTGTATTAAGATTTACAGAAATATGGTTGTAAATTAATTGTACCCAGATTTACAGAGATATGGTTTACAGATTTACAGATTTACAGAGATATGGTTGTAAGTTAATTGTATCCAGATTTACAGAGATATGGTTGTAAGTTAATTGTATCCAGATTTACAGAGATTTGGTTGTAAGTTGATTGTACCCAGATTTACAGAGATATGGTTTACAGATTTACAGATTTACAGAGAAATGGTTGTAAGTTAATTGTACCAGATTTACGGAAATATGGTTTACAGATTTACAGAGATATGGTTGTAAGTTAATTGTATCCAGATTTACAGCGATATGGTTGTAAGTTAATTGTATCCAGATTTACAGCGATATGGTTGTAAGTTAATTGTATCCAGATTTACAGCGATATGGTTGTAAGTTAATTGTATCCAGATTTACAGCGATATGGTTGTAAGTTAATTGTATCCAGATTTACAGCGATATGGTTGTAAGTTAATTGTATCCAGATTTACAGAGATATGGTTGTAAGTTAATTGTACCCAGATTTACAGAAATATGGTTTACAGATTTACAGAGATATGGTTGTAATTTAATTGTACCAGATTTACAGAAATATGGTTTACAGATTTACAGATTTACAGAGATATGGATGTAAGTTAATTGTACCAGAGTTACAGAAATATGGTTTACAGATTTACAGAGATATGGTTTACAGATTTACAGAGATATGGTTGTAAGTTAATTGTATCCAGATTTACAGAGATATGGTTGTAAGTTAATTGTACCAGATTTACAGAAATAAGGTTTACAGATTTACAAAGATATGGTTTACAGATTTACAGAGAAATGGTTATAAGTTAATTGTACCAGATTTACAGAAATATGGTTTACAGATTTACAAAGATATGGTTTACAGATTTACAGAGAAATGGTTGTAAGTTAATTGTACCAGATTTACAGAAATATGGTTTACAGATTTACAGATTTACAGAGATATGGTTGTAAGTTAATTGTACCAGATTTACAGAAATATGGTTTACAGATTTACAGATTTACAGAGATATGGTTGTAAGTTAATTGTACCAGATTTACAGAAATATGGTTTACAGATTTACAGAGATATGGTTTACAGATTTACAGAGATATGGTTGTGAGTTAATTGTACCAGATTTACAGAGATATGGTTTACAGATTTACAGAGAGACAGAGATATGGTTGTGAGTTAATTGTTTTCATTGCACTAAAGTAACCAATAACATAAGAGTTATCTGCCATTGTTAGAATAATATCACCCGTTGTTAAACAAATCAAACGCCCTGTTGCACAGACACACAAATGTAGAAGTATCAAGTATGAATAGGTTTCAAAGAAATATATAGTTTAAAATCATTGTTTTTATTTGGCACATAAAACAATATCAAACAATTTTGTTAAAAAACACACACAAAATAATAAGGAAAAAATTGTTGCACACAACCATGGAATGTGAGTGACCTGTCTTATCTCTCCTTTTTACCCTTGCATGTACTTATCTGCCATTTTCAAATTGTGCATGAATTAATTTGGAAGACCATAACTAAAGTCTTAGATAAAAATTCTATGCACGTTTAACATTTAATGAAAAATACACACATTTTAGTGTAAAATACATCACATCAGTGACAACTACCTGGTATAAATTGAATAGTGATTAAAATACACTTGATAAATCTTGTTATATTTACACACTACTAAAGACTAACTAAGGAAATATAATATCAACTTTAAGTTAAGCATAGTTCAGACTGTGTTTAAAAAATAAATTAATATTGAAAATACAATTATCATATCTATTGAATACTAAAACCACTATTTAAGTTGAGGTCAACTATCAGCAATGTGAATGTTGCATTTTCCGTGGATTTGAACAGCATTTTCATGTTTAAGGATAATTGAAATCAATCTTATTATAACAATCAAACATGATCCTTTTAAAAGTATTTTGCACAAACATTTTTGTCCTTTTAAAATACAGATATTGTGCATGGCTCAGGAAATAACTGTAGTGGATAAGTATCCACAAGTATTATAGAGTTGAGGCCTCAGATATTACAGCGATGAGGCTAGGATTAAACACATACAAGTGTCTACACTTAGATGTGGCATACAGCAAAGGGATTCACTTAGAATAGACCACACCAAGAAACAAAGAGAGGAGTTACCTCCCTTACATGTGTATGTCCATTGTCAATATCTTGTGCCAGTAACATCCATCATACACAAGTTATTTATACTCTCATTCAGTTCAGTTACAAAAGTTACGAAAGTTTTACGAAACAGAATTATTTTTAGATGAAATTTTGTTCATAATAATTCTTAACAAATCATACAGACTGAAAATTTCAGTATCTAAAATGATAATTTCATATCAAATATCAACATTTCAGAAATTGCATGTTTTTTTAAATATGCCATTTTCAATGATTAAAAAGGAATAAAATAAATTTGAGCTCATTAAATATGAAGATTTGATAGTGAAAGTTTGTATTTTTTCAATCTAATAAAGTCAGTTTCTGACTAATGTACCCCTGCCCTTTAAATGAAGAAATCACGGTAAATCATAACCCAGGTTAACTACTGGAACTAGATATAAAATTCAAATGAAAGTTTGATATTGGTTTCGTACAGATATATATAGACCACTAAATTTAGGAGATCAGACAAAACAGACAAATATTATAATGCAGAAAACCCCCAATGCTGTAACCCCTATTTATCACAGTAGACCCGTTCCTCTCAGTGTTTGTGTAGTATTAGGATTATTGGCCAGGGATGATGGGTGGTAGGAAGAGCATGACTATAACTCACTGTCCATCAGTCCAGTCTCTTTCTGGAAACCTGACAACTAATTATAGATTCACTCCTCCAGTATCCCAGTGTATTCCACCCAGTCTCTGATCTCACTGGTGTCACATCCTAATGTTGTCTCTGATCTCACTGGTGTCACATCCTAATGTTGTCTCTGATCTCACTGGTGTCACATCCTAATGTTGTCTCTGATCTCACTGGTGTCACTTCTTAATGTTGTCTCTGATCTCACTGGTGTCACATCCTAATGTTGTCTTTGATCTCACTGGTGTCACATTATAATGTTGTCTCTGATCTCACTGGGGTCACATCCTAATGTTGTCTCTGCACTCACTGGTGTCACATCCTAACGTTGTCTCTGATCTCACTGGTGTTACATCCTAATGTTGTCTCTGATGTCACTGGTGTCACATCCTAATATTGTCTCTGATCTCACTGGTGTCCCTTCTTAATGTTGTCTCTGATCTCACTTGCGTCCCATCCTAATGTTGTCTCTGATCTAACTGGCGTCACATCCTAATGTTGTCTTTGATCTCACTGGTGTCACATTCTAATGTTGTCTCTGATCTCACTTGCGTCCCATCCTAATGTTGTCTCTGATGTCACTGGTGTCACATCCTAATATTGTCTCTGATCTCACTGGTGTCTCATCCTAATGTTGTCTCTGATGTCACTGGTGTCACATCCTAATGTTGTCTCTGATCTCACTGGCGTCACATCCTAATGTTGTCTCTGCTCTCACTGGTGTCACATCCTAATGTTGTCTCTGATCTCAACGGTGTCACATCCTAATGTTGTCTCTGATCTCACTGCTGTCACATCCTAATGTTGTCTCTGATCTCACTGGTGTCACATCCTTGCGGAGTTGTTGTATTCTAAATGTCCACAACAACACATATCCACCTGGTTGTCTGGTGGTTGACTGTTATATTGTTCAACCACTGTTAACTCTATTACATTACACATTGTCAGCCAAACCTTAACTTCACTTTCACAATGTACAGTAACCACCAAGTAATTAAAGCTCTTTGTCCCATGGATATCTACACCTGTAATCTGTTTTACTGAGGCCTGACCCTTTGGTTTGGTCTGACTTAGTTGCCATAGAAACAGACTGGAATGTATTTGTGATGGGCCTTGGTTGGCCTTTGGAAATTGTTGTCATAGCAACAGTTGGTTGGTGTTAGGAGCTTGTGGAGCCTGTTTTCTGTGTATTACTCTGAGACTTCACTACTAAGTTCAACAACACGAGGACTCGATCCATCTTTTTGTCTAGGCGATTCACCTGGCAAGTAAAATGTTCACTGGTAAATGACAGGGAAAGCAATAGGCTATAAAAATTACTTTCAAGATGAGCCCTAAATAATTTAAGAAAGGAAAAAATTGCACAAGAATAATAAGCCAGATTGTAGAGTAAGTAACCTTTGTTATGTCTTTGATTTTAAGTCCCTCTCCTGGTACATTCTGTGACCTTGACCTTTGCCACACTCACCTGGGTTTCTATAGAGATAATACCCATGTACAATGTGACCCAGTTTTCTGTAAAGGCTAACCTGGTACATTCTGTGACCTTGACCTTTGCCACACTCACCTGGTTTTTATAGAGATTATACCCATGTACAATGTGACCCAATTTTCTGTAAAGGCTAACCTGGTACATTCTGTGACCTTGACCTTTGCCACACTCACCTGGTTTTTATAGAGATTATACCCATGTACAATGTGACCCAATTTTCTGTAAAGGCTAACCTGGTACATTCTGTGACCTTGACCTTTGCCACACTCACCTGGTTTTTATAGAGATTATACCCATGTACAATGTGACCCAATTTTCTGTAAAGGCTAACCTGGTACATTCTGTGACCTTGACCTTTGCCACACTCACCTGGTTTTTATAGAGATTATACCCATGTACAATGTGACCCAATTTTCTGTAAAGGCTAACCTGGTACATTCTGTGACCTTGACCTTTGCCACACTCACCTGGTTTTCTATAGAGATAATACCCATGTACAATGTGACCCAGTTTTCTGTAAAGGCTAACCTGGTACATTCTGTGACCTTGACCTTTGCCACACTCACCTGGTTTTTATAGAGATTATACCCATGTACAATGTGACCCAATTTTCTGTAAAGGCTAACCTGGTACATTCTGTGACCTTGACCTTTGCCACACTCACCTGGTTTTCTATAGAGATAATACCCATGTACAATGTGACCCAGTTTTCTGTAAAGGCTAACCTGGTACATTCTGTGACCTTGACCTTTGCCACACTCACCTGGTTTTTATAGAGATTATACCCATGTACAATGTGACCCAATTTTCTGTAAAGGCTAACCTGGTACATTCTGTGACCTTGACCTTTGCCACACTCACCTGGTTTTCAATAGAGATAATACCCATGTACAATGTGACCCAGTTTTCTGTAAAGGCTAACCTGGTACATTCTGTGACCTTGACCTTTGCCACACTCACCTGGTTTTTATAGAGATTATACCCATGTACAATGTGACCCAATTTTCTGTAAAGGCTAACCTGGTACATTCTGTGACCTTGACCTTTGCCACACTCACCTGGTTTTCAATAGAGATAATACCCATGTACAATGTGACCCAGTTTTCTGTAAAGGCTAACCTGGTACATTCTGTGACCTTGACCTTTGCCACACTCACCTGGTTTTTATAGAGATTATACCCATGTACAATGTGACCCAATTTTCTGTAAAGGCTAACCTGGTACATTCTGTGACCTTGACCTTTGCCACACTCACCTGGTTTTTATAGAGATTATACCCATGTACAATGTGACCCAATTTTCTGTAAAGGCTAACCTGGTACATTCTGTGACCTTGACCTTTGCCACACTCACCTGGTTTTCAATAGAGATTATACCCATGTACAATGTGACCCAGTTTTCTGTAAAGGCTAACCTGGTACATTCTGTGACCTTGACCTTTGCCACACTCACCTGGTTTTCAATAGAGATTATACCCATGTACAATGTGACCCAGTTTTCTGTAAAGGCTAACCTGGTACATTCTGTGACCTTGACCTTTGCCACACTCACCTGGTTTTCTATAGTGATTATACCCATGTACAATGTGACCCAGTTTTCTGTAAAGGCTACCCTGGTACATTCTGTGACCTTGACCTTTGCCACACTCACCTGGTTTTCTATAGATGCTACCCTAGCACATACTGTAGCCTTTTCTTTGTTTTCTTTTGATCCTGTGTACAGGGGTTTCCCTAGTGTCTGGTCCAGTCTGAAAGATGACAGTCATATAGGAAAACAGGTAGAAAATGTCATCAGCTATATCAGTTATATCAAAATATATCTGTCCAGGGATAATAGGATTAGATCTACAAAGATTACACAACATTAAACATCACTGGACAAATATCCTATATAGTTGACAATAGAAATGGTTATATCAATCAACCAATAGCACTACTCCAGTGTGCAAATAGATAAACAGAAATTTCTCTTATCAATGAACCAAGAACCTACCTCGTCTGTAAGAAAAAATCCCTGATATGGATTTATTTATCCCTAGAATTTATTAGAACTGTTTACCTCCTCTGTAACTCTTTAATTCGGACCATCATGTTGAGGTGTCCCTGAGAATATTGTTCTATCACATCGCGCACATCGTAGGGCTTCCGTGCTTGCTGTAGGATAAGACAATCGCAAGATATTTACATTTGAAAGACAACCTCAGAAACAAACCTAATGTAAAAGTAAGAATCCTTCAATTAGGCATTATTTTACATGCGTTTGGTTAAGTTTACCTGTGTTTGATGTCCCATTAACAGCAATGGTTATTTAAAGATGTGCCAGGATTTGATGGTGACTGGAGAGTGCCTGGAGAAAATACCACCGACCTACAGCCAATACCTGGTGACTGCCCAATGTAGGCCTTGAACCTACAGCCAGTACCTGGTGACTGCCCCACGTAGGCCTCGAACCTACAGCCAGTACCTGGTGATTGCCCAACGTAGGCCTTGAACCTACAGCCAGTACTTTGTGACTGCTCCACGTAGGCCTAGAACCCACAGCCAGTACCTGCTGACTGGCCCACGTAGGCCTTGAACCTACAGCCAGTACCTGGTGACTGCCCAATGTAGGCCTTGAACCTACAGCCAGTACCTGGTGACTGCTCCACATAGGCCTCAAACCTACAGCCAGTACCTGGTGACTGGCCCACGTAGGCCTTGAACCTACAGCTAGTCCCTGGTGACTGCCCCACGTAGGCCTCGAAGCTACAGCCAGTACCTTGTGACTGGCCCACGTAGCTAGGCCTTGAACCTATAGCCAGTACCTGGTGACTGGCCAACGTAGGCCTCGAATCTACAGCCAGTACCTGGTGACTGGCCCACATCGGCCTTGAACCTCCAGCCAGTACCTGGTGACTGCCCAATGTAGGCCTTGAACCTACAGCCAGTACTTTGTTACTGCTCCACGTAGGCCTAGAACCCACAGCCAGTACCTGCTGACTGCCCCACGTAGGCCTTGAACCTACGGCTAGTACCTGGTGACTGCCCCACGTAGGCCTCGAACCTCCAGCCAGTACCTGGTGACTGGCCCATGTAGGTAGGCCTCGAACCTACAGCCAGTACCTGGGGATTGCCCAACGTAGGCCTTGAACCTACAGCCAGTACCTGGGGACTGCCCAATGTAGGCCTTGAACCTACAGCCAGTACTTTGTAACTGCTCCACGTAGGCCTAGAACCCACAGCCAGTACCTGCTGACTGGTCCACGTAGGCCTTGAACCTACAGCCAGTACTTTGTTACTGCTCCACGTAGGCCTAGAACCCACAGCCAGGACCTGCTGAGTGGCCCACGTAGGCCTTGAACCTACAGCCAGTACCTTGTGACTGGCCCTCATAGCTAGGCCTTGAACCTACAGCCAGTCCCTACTGGCCCACGTCCCTAGGCCTTGAACCTACAGCCAGTACCTGGGGACTGCCCCACATAGGCCTCGAACCTACAGCCAGTACCTTGTGACTGGCCCACGTAGCTAGGCCTTGAACCTTTAGCCAGTCCCTGGTGACTGCCCCACGTAGGCCTCGAACCTGCAGCCAGTATCTGGTGACTGCCCCACGTAGGCCTTGAACCTACAGCTAGTACCTGGTGACTGCCCCACGTAGGCCTTAAACCTACAGCCAGTACCTGGTGACTGCCCCATATAGGCCTCAAACCTACAGCCAGTACCTTGTGACTGGCCCTCATAGCTAGGCCTTGAACCTACAGCCAGTACCTACTGGCCCACGTAGCTAGGCCTTGAACCTATAGCCAGTACCTGGTGACTGGCTATAGGTTCTCCACGTAGGCCTAGAACCCACAGCCAGTACCTGCTGACTGCCCCACGTAGGCCTTGAACCTACAGCTAGTCCCTGGTGACTGCCCCACGTAGGCCTCGAACCTCCAGCCAGTACCTGGTGACTGCTCCACATAGGCCTCAAACCTCCAGCCAGTACCTGGTGACTGCCCAATGTAGGACTTGAGCCTACAGCCAGTACCTTGTGACTGGCCCACATAGCTAGGCCTTGAACCTACAGCCAGTCCCTGGTGACTGCCCCACGTAGGCCTCGAACCTTCAGCCAGTACCTGGTGACTGCCCAACGTAGGCCTCGAACCTACAGCCAGTACCTTGTGACTGGCCCTCATAGCTAGGCCTTGAACCTACAGCCAGTACCTACTGGCCCACGTAGCTAGGCCTTGAACCTACAGCCAGTACCTGCTGACTGTCCCACATAGCTAGGCCTTGAACCTACAGCCAGTCCCTACTGGCCCACGTCCCTAGGCCTTGAACCTACAGCCAGTACCTACTGGCCCACGTAGCTAGGCCTTGAACCTTTAGCCAGTCCCTGGTGACTGCCCCACGTAGGCCTCGAAGCTACAGCCAGTACCTTGTGACTGGCCCACGTAGCTAGGCCTTGAACCTACAGCCAGTACCTACTGGCCCACGTAGCTAGGCCTTGAACCTTTAGCCAGGACCCCGTGACTGCCCCACGTAGGCCTCGAACCTGCGGCCAGTACCTGGTGACTGCCCCACGTAGGCCTCGAAGCTACAGCCAGTACCTTGTGACTGGCCCACATAGCTAGGCCTACAGCTAGTACCTGGTGACTGCCCCACATAGGCCTCAAACCTCCAGCCAGTACCTGGTGACTGCCCAATGTAGGCCTTGAACCTACAGCCAGTCCCTGGTGACTGCTCCACATAGGCCTCAAACCTACAGCCAGTGCCTGGTGACTGCCCCACGTAGGCCTCGAACCTGCAGCCAGTATCTGGTGACTGCCCCACGTAGGCCTTGAACCTATAGCAGGACTTGAACCTACAGCCAGTACCTGCTGACTGGCCCACATAGCTAGGCCTTGAACCTACAGCCAGTCCCTGGTGACTGCTCCACATAGGCCTCAAACCTACAGCCAGTGCCTGGTGACTGCCCCACGTAGGCCTCGAACCTCCAGCCAGTACCTGGTGACTGGCCCACGTAGGCCTCAAACCCACAGCCAGTACCTGGTGACTGCCCAATGTAGGCCTTTAACCTACAGCCAGTACCTGGTGACTGCCCACTGTAGGACTTGAACCTACAGCCAGTACCTGCTGACTGTCCCACATAGCTAGGCCTTGAACCTACAGCCAGTACCTACTGGCCCACGTAGCTAGGCCTTGAACCTTTAGCAAGTACCTGGTGACTGCCCCACGTAGGCCTCAAACCAACAGCCAGTACCTGGTGACTGTCCCACGTAGGCCTTGAACCTATAGCCAGTACCTGGTGACTGGCTATAGGTTCTCCACGTAGGCCTAGAACCCACAGCCAGTACCTGCTGACTGCCCCACGTAGGCCTTGAACCTACAGCCAGTCCCTGGTGACTGCCCAATGTAGGACTTGAACCTACAGCCAGTACCTTGTGACTGGCCCACATAGCTAGGCCTTGAACCTACAGCCAGTACCTGGTGACTGCCCCACGTAGGCCTCGAACCTGCAGCCAGTATTTGGTGACCGCCCCACGTAGGCCTCGAACCTACAGCCAGTACCTGGTGACTGGCCCACATAGGCCTTGAACCTACAGCCAGTACCTGGTGACTGGCCCATGTAGGCCTCGAATCTACAGCCAGTACCTGGTGACTGGCCCACGTAGGCCTCGAACCTGCGGCCAGTACCTGGTGACTGCCCCACGTAGGCCTCAAACCAACAGCCAGTACCTGGTGACTGCCCCACGTAGGCCTTGAACCTACAGCCAGTACCTGGTGACTGGCCAACGTAGGCCTCAAACCAAGAGCCAGTACCTGGTGAATGCCCCACGTAGGCCTTGAACCTACCGCCAGTACCTGGTGTCTGCCCCACGTAGCCCTTGAACCTACGGCTAGTACCTGGTGACTGCCCCACGTAGGCCTTGAACCTACAGCCAGTACCTGGTGTCTGCACCACGTAGGCCTCGAACCTACAGCCAGTACCTTGTGACTGGCCCCCGTAGCTAGGCCTTGAACCTACAGCCAGTACCTGGTGTCTGCACCACGTAGGCCTCGAACCTACAGCCAGTACCTGGTGACTGGCCCACGTAGGCCTCAAACCTGCGGCCAGTACCTGCTGACTGCCCCACTTAGGCCTTGAACCTACAGCCAGTACTTGATGACTGCTCCACGTAGGCCTCGAACCCACAGCCAGTACCTGCGGACTGGCCCGCGAAGGCCTCGAACCTTCAGCCAGTACCTGGTGACTGCACCACATAGGCCTTGAACCTACAGCCAGTACCTGGTGACTTGCCCACGTAGGCCTCGAACCCACGACCGAGTGGTGGAGTGCTTGTGAACCTATCAGTCATTTGATCAAGTTCCATAATTACTGGCCAAGAGAGAACTCTTGTCGAAATAGTCCAAATAAATAACCCATCACAAGTACTGACTGACCTAAGATACTGATCATATTTATCAAGTTTCGTATAGTTGGTAAGGTAAGTTACAGTATGTTGGGCATAATCTATAAAAGGATAACAATAAAGAGGCACAATCAAATATCCCAAATTAAAAGTAAATCACAAGAACAAAACAAATTGAAGTATTGATCATGTGTACCAAGTTTCAAAAAAATTGATTGAGAAATTTAAGATATGCACCAGAGTTGTGGACAAACCTCTGTCAACAAATGGCTAGACAGACAGAAGCTAGGATAACCTGATTCTAGTACAAACCCCCCAACCCCGGACTTCTTTGCAGGGTTCTTTTATCAGTGGACAATATTTTTTTATACTAAAGAGACATCTCCCTTTGTCCTTACCTAAATATTCCTTCTTCCTTTTGGCTGGCATTTACAATCAAATCTATTTGACTGGAATTTACAGTAAGATCACTTGGACTGGGTATACAGTAAAATTTCAGATGTTTTCACTAAGTTTCATCGAACTTTAACGGCCTTTTAAAGAATTTATTCAGAAACCATTGGCCAATGACATTCCCAGTAAATATTCACAAAGTATGCAAAACATCGAAAGTAGTGGGTATCCTAACTTAAGGGCATCACAATCTTAACCTTTAATTTAAAGATATTATTTGGAAATATTTAGCCAATATCTATCCTGCTATCAAGATTAAAAATATCCTGGATTATTTTGCGCATTAAATGACCTGATTATAGGTGGGACTATTAGATATGAACAATTTACTATTAGTCTTACCCCAAGTCTCATAAAAATGTCACATTTCCTTTGACAGATATTCTCTGAAAATCAAAAGCCAATCACACTGCAGTCATCATGACCATCACCATAATACAATTCTCCAATTTCCTGATAACAAAACATTTAATTATAAAATTTGTCATTAAAGCTCACCTGAAATTTTCTCCTTGCAACAAAAAATTTGATTTTTCTTATCACCCGAATCATAGTTTTATGAGCATCTGTAAGTCTGAAAAAAAAAAGATGGTGTACTTAGTGCCGAATTATTATCATACCATTTTCTAGTATAAAGCCAAAATGTCATATGATGTCACAGATACTTAAGTGTCACATGATGACACACATACATAAGTGTCACATGATGTCAAATATAAATAAGTGTCACATGATGTCACAAATATAAATAAGTGTCACATGATGTCATACATACATAAGTGTCACATGATGACACACATAGGTAAGTGTCACATGATGGCACACATACATAAGTGTCACATGATATCAAATATACAAAAGTGTCACATGATGACACACATAAGTGTCACATGATGTCACACATACATAAGTGTCACATGATGACACACATACATAAGTGTCACATGCTATCACATAAACATAAGTGTCACATAATGTCAAATATAAATAAGTGTCACCTGATGTCGAATATAAATAAGTGTCACATGATGTCACAAATATAAATAAGTGTCACATGATGTCATACATACATAAGTGTCACATGATGACACACATACGTAAGTGTCACATGATGGCACACATACATAAGTGTCACATGATATCAAATATACATAAGTGTCACATGATGACACACATAAGTGTCACATGATGTCACACATACATAAGTGTCACATGATGACACACATACATAAGTGTCACATGATGTCACACATACATAAGTGTCACATGATGTCACACATACATAAGTGTCACATGATGTCACACATACATAAGTGTCACATGATGTCACACATACATAAGTGTCACATGATGTCACACATACATAAGTGTCACATGATGTCACACATACATAAGTGTCACATGATGTCACACATACATAAGTGTCACATGATGTCACACATACATAAGTGTCACATGATGTCACACATACATAAGTGTCACATGATGTCACACATACATAAGTGTCACATGATGTCACACATACATAAGTGTCACATGATGTCACATAAACATAAGTGTCACATGATGTCACACATACATAAGTGTCACATGATGTCACACATACATAAGTGTCACATGATGACACACATACATAAGTGTCACATGATGACACACATACATAAGTGTCACATGATGTCACACATACATAAGTGTCACATGATGTCACACATACATAAGTGTCACATGATGTCACACATACATAAGTGTCACATGATGACACACATACATAAGTGTCACATGATGACACACATACATAAGTGTCACATGATGTCACACATACATAAGTGTCACATGATGTCACACATACATAAGTGTCACATGATGTCACACATACATAAGTGTCACATGATGACACACATACATAAGTGTCACATGATGACACACATACATAAGTGTCACATGATGTCACACATACATAAGTGTCACATGATGTCACACATACATAAGTGTCACATGATGTCACACATACATAAGTGTCACATGATGACACACATACATAAGTGTCACATGATGACACACATACATAAGTGTCACATGATGTCACACATACATAAGTGTCACATGATGTCACACATACATAAGTGTCACATGATGACACACATACATAAGTGTCACATGATGACACACATACATAAGTGTCACATGATGTCACACATACATAAGTGTCACATGATGTCACACATACATAAGTGTCACATGATGACACACATACATAAGTGTCACATGATGACACACATACATAAGTGTCACATGATGTCACACATACATAAGTGTCACATGATGTCACACATACATAAGTGTCACATGATGACACACATACATAAGTGTCACATGATGACACACATACATAAGTGTCACATGATGTCACACATACATAAGTGTCACATGATGTCACACATACATAAGTGTCACATGATGTCACACATACATAAGTGTCACATGATGACACACATACATAAGTGTCACATGATGACACACATACATAAGTGTCACATGATGTCACACATACATAAGTGTCACATGATGTCACACATACATAAGTGTCACATGATGTCACACATACATAAGTGTCACATGATGACACACATACATAAGTGTCACATGATGACACACATACATAAGTGTCACATGATGTCACACATACATAAGTGTCACATGATGTCACACATACATAAGTGTCACATGATGTCACACATACATAAGTGTCACATGATGACACACATACATAAGTGTCACATGATGACACACATACATAAGTGTCACATGATGTCACACATACATAAGTGTCACATGATGTCACACATACATAAGTGTCACATGATGTCACACATACATAAGTGTCACATGATGACACACATACATAAGTGTCACATGATGACACACATACATAAGTGTCACATGATGTCACACATACATAAGTGTCACATGATGTCACACATACATAAGTGTCACATGATGTCACACATACATAAGTGTCACATGATGACACACATACATAAGTGTCACATGATGACACACATACATAAGTGTCACATGATGTCACACATACATAAGTGTCACATGATGTCACACATACATAAGTGTCACATGATGTCACACATACATAAGTGTCACATGATGACACACATACATAAGTGTCACATGATGACACACATACATAAGTGTCACATGATGTCACACATACATAAGTGTCACATGATGTCACACATACATAAGTGTCACATGATGTCACACATACATAAGTGTCACATGATGACACACATACATAAGTGTCACATGATGACACACATACATAAGTGTCACATGATGTCACACATACATAAGTGTCACATGATGTCACACATACATAAGTGTCACATGATGTCACACATACATAAGTGTCACATGATGTCACATAAACATAAGTGTCACATGATGTCACACATACATAAGTGTCACATGATGTCACATTAACATAAGTGTCACATGATGTCAAATATAAATAAGTGTCACATGATGACACACATAAATAAGTGTCACATGATGTCACACATACATAAGTGTCACATGATGTCACAAATACATAAGTGTCACATGATATCACATAAACATAAGTGTCACATGATATCACTTAAACATAAGTGTCACATGATATCACACATACATAAGTGTCACATGATGTCACATAAACATAAGTGTCACATGATATCACATATAAATAAGTGTCACATGATTAAATGATAAATCAGTAGTGCCCATTCATAGATCAAATACAGAAGAATAATGTTGACTGTTGGACACAGGAATAAAGAGTGTCCCCTCATAGATGTGTATACAGAATGATAAGGTTGATAGACACAGGAGTTATTACCTGGGGCCATATACAATTACTGTAGAAAACAATTTTTCAATCAAATTCCTCACAAAGTTCTCACTTAAACCGTGCTACGACATTGATAAGGTTACGTCTCATACACAATACAGGAGTACACAGTACCTTCATGTGTTTATTTGTACCAGGAAACAATGAGAAACATACAACTTCCCTCGACACAGAATGCCCGCAGAGAGAAACTATAACATCTACAATAATTCATGATGTGGTGTATGACATGGCCTCCGTTACAATGATAAACACCCTTCTGAATAATGAATGTCCCGCCCCAGCTCTGTATACGGGTCTCCTCATCAATCCTAACAGTGTCAGGTGGAACCAGCACCTCCTCCATCTTTATACTGATATCTATATATTCTGATAGTCCCTGGGATACGGTGATGGCCTCCCAATAATCAGGAAGCGTACATAATATAGTGTTAAATAAATCAGCAGCCTATTAAAGCGTGTGGTATATGGGGTACATTGGTCTGTCAGATTACGTTTTGTCACATTACAACACAACAATTAAGTTGATAGAAACCGTGTAAACATTGTCACAGGAAATGTTCTCTGGGTCCTATATCTCCCGTCAATGATGTATACAATGTCACAGGAAATGTTCTCCAGGTCCTATATCTCCTGTCAATGATGTATACATTGTCACAGGGAAAGTTCTCCGGGTCCTATATCTCCTGTCAATGATGTTTACATTGTCACAGGAAATGTTCTCCAGGTCCTTTATCTCCTGTCAATGATGTATACCTTGTCACAGGGAATGTTCTCCGGGTCCTATATCTGCTATTTACACTGTCACAGGAAATGTTCTCCAGGTCCGTTATCTCCTGTCAATGATGTATACATTGTCACAGGGAAAGTTCTCTGGGTCCTATATCTCCTGTCAATGATGTATACATTGTCACAGGAAAAGTTCTCCAGGTCCTATATCTCCTGTCAATGATGTTTACATTGTCACAGGAAATGTTCTTTGGGTCCTATATCTCCTGTCAATGATGTATACAATGTCACAGGGAATGTTCTCCGGGTCCTATATCTCCTGTCAATGATGTATACATTGTCACAGGACATGTTCTCCAGGTCCTATATCTCCTGTCAATGATGTATATATTGTCACAGGGAATGTTCTCCAGGTCCTATATCTCCTGTCAATGATGTATACATTGTCACAGGAAATGTTTTCCGGGTCCTATATTTCCTGTCAATGATGTATACATTGTCACAGGACATGTTCTTTGGGTCCTATATCTGCTATTTACACTGTCACAGGGAATGTTCTCTGGGTCCTATATCTCCTGTCAATGATGTATACAATGTCACAGGGAATGTTCTCCGGGTCCTATATCTCCTGTCAATGATGTATACATTGTCACAGGAAATGTTCTTTGGGTCCTATATCTGCTATTTACACTGTCACAGGGAAAGTTCTCTGGGTCCTATATCTCCTGTCAATGATGTATACATTGTCACAGGGAATGTTCTCCAGGTCCGTTATCTCCTGTCAATGATGTATACATTGTCACAGGGAATGTTCTCTGGGTCCTATATCTCCTGTCAATGATGTTTACATTGTCACAGGGAATGTTCTCCGGGTCCTATATCTCCTGTCAATGATGTATACAATGTCACAGGGAAAGTTCTCCGGGTCCTATATCTCCTGTCAATGATGTATACATTGTCACAGGGAATGTTCTCCAGGTCCGTTATCTCCTGTCAATGATGTATACATTGTCACAGGGAATGTTCTCTGGGTCCTATATCTCCTGTCAATGATGTATACATTGTCACAGGAAATGTTCTTTGGGTCCTATATCTGCTATTTACACTGTCACAGGGAAAGTTCTCTGGATCCTATATCTCCTGTCAATGATGTATACATTGTCACAGGAAATGTTCTCTTGGTCCTATTTCTCCTGTCAATGAGGTATACATTGTCACAGGGAATGTTTTCAGGCTCTGATGGTGGACAGACAGATATAACAGCCGCATTGAGACAAACGGATGGACAGAGGGACGGACGGACGGACACATTGAGACACATTTATGGGGATATAATAGACATACATTGAAGCCACACTGAGACACAAAGATGTATTAACACACAATCGACAGACAGACAGACATAGCAGCTACATTGAGACACAATGATGACAAACAGACAGACATACATAATTGAGCTACATTGAAATTCATCGATGATATAAGACAGACAAGACAAGGAGATACATACATATGGAGGAAGACAGACATAGCAGTCAAAGGAAGACAGACAGACAGACAGCTAGGAACACTCGCTGTTCTGGCTTAGATATTATATCACTTTTCATGAGACAGACAGATAGAGGACAGACAGACATTACAATGACAGGAAGACACACAGACAGACAGCTAGGAACACTCGCTGTTCTGCCTTGGATATTATATCACTTTTCATGAGACAGACAGATAGAGGACAGACAGACATTATAATGACAGGAAGACACACAGACAGGCAGCTAGGAACACTCGCTGTCCTGGCTTGGATATTATATCACTTTTCATGAGACAGACAGATAGAGGACAGACAGACATTACAATGACAGGAAGACACACAGACAGACAGCTAGGAACACTCACTGTTCTGGTTTGGATATTATATCATTTTCGTCCCCATCGTCTCCAGAGTATTCCAAGACATCCTGTGATGGCTGCCTATAGGAGCCTATAGGAGATTTACTGGGAGTACCTGTCAGCACCAACATAATGATTTCTTAAAGGTATTTCTTTTTCATTAAAATCAATTTGAGACAATCATGAAAACATTAAAAACTTTTACAACATAATCATAAATATAACAAATATACAAATGAACAAGAGGCCCAGAGGGCCTGTATCGCTCACCTGTTTCTTTTGTTACATGCAACTGACATATAGGTAACTTAAGACCAAATTTGGTAAATAGAACACAAGACATTTTAACATCTCTTAAACGGTTCTGAAGATATTGTTGTTTGAAACTTGAAATTTTAATTTTAAAGCTTTTAACCCATATTGACCTTTGACCTCATTACTGTAATAAAGAAAACAATTCACACTGCTGGTCTACATAACATTCCCAAGTATCATGACTAGTCCAAATGGTTCTAAGGATATTGTTGTTTGAAGTTTTTAACATATTTGACCCCTGTGACCTTGAAAGTAGGTCATGGTCATTTTAATAAGGAAACTTTATAGCACTTCATCCCAGGTACCTACTAGCCAAATATCATGACCCTGAGCCTTATGGAATTTGAAAAGAAGACTGTTAAAGCCTTTGACCCATGTTGACCTTTGAGCCCGACTTGCACTAAAAGTTTACCTTTGACCTCATTACCGAATTGAAAAAAAGATTTGCACTGCTGGTCTACATAACATATCCAAGTATCATGACTCGAGTTCAAATGATTCTTAGGATATTGTTGTTTGAGGTTTTTAACATATTTGACCCCAGTGACCTTGAAAGTAGGTCAAGGTCATTTTAAATGAGGAAACTTTATAGAACTCCATACCAGGTACCTACTGGCCAAATATCATGACCCTGGGCCTTATTGAACTTGAGAAGAAGATTGTTAAAGCTTTTAACCAAAGTTGACATTTGACCCCCGACTAGCATTTAAAGTTGACCTCATTACTGTCATTGAGAAAAATATTTGCACTGCTGGTCTACATAACATACCCAAGTATCATGACTCCAGTTCAAATGGTTCTTAGGATATTGTTGTTTGAAATTTTTGACATATTTGACCACTGTGACCTTGAAAAAAGGGCAAGGTCATTTTAATTAGGAAACTTTATAGCGCTCTATCCCAGGTACCTACTGGCCAAATATCATGACCCTAGGTCCTACAGTTCTTCAGAAGAAGTCGTTTAAAAGAACAAGATATTCCAGAGGAATCTTGGCGCCCACCATTTTACCATCTTCATTAGTTCTTTGTCAGTTCCATCTTTTCTCTTCTTTCCTCTAATCTGTTTGATCAAGTCATGTTAACAGTAAATGCACCTTGAGGTAATTTTTGATCTAAACTTAATACTGATGTGTATGAAAGCCAACCTTCAAAGTGAGTTTGTCATTCACATATTTACTAGTACAGTACTTAATGGGAAAGAAATAGAATTGATCATTGCAATATAAGAAAGATCTGTTTAGTTCTTCCTTTAGTTATTTTGTTTTTATGATCAGTCTCAAAATATAACATGCAAAGCAAGGGATCAAGGGGAACCTACATATCAAATTTGAGAAAGATCCCTAAGTTATTCCTGAGAACTAGTACTAACAAACCTTCAAAGTCAAAAATTAAAGATGGCTGTTGGTAGGCCATTTTGTTTAACTGAACAGTTTCAAAAGTAAACATGAACAATAAAGGATAGTGGGGAACCTGCATTGGCTGGCCCAAATTTTTATTTTTTAGGGCGAGTAAAAGATTTGAAGCACTGGCCCAAATGACATATTGGTGGCACAAATAATTTTGGGAAGAAATATTTCCACAGCAATTAACACAATGCTTCAGCACATTTAAATTACATTCAACATGACAATGTTTGTGATATGTGAAACAGAATAAAACATTATATTTTTCATTCTTCAACCCTAGCAAAAACCTGACATGATCCACTCCATTCAGGTCTTTCCAAAAAGAAATACACAAAACACAAAACTCGCACCTCAAAGAAGACACCCTGGAAGTATTTATATAGNAGTTAATGTGGAAGGGACTATAATTTCTTTTATTCATTAATTTGTTGACAGTCGCCCAAACTATTTTTGTTGGGCCAGTGACTACCTCACTTTTGACACTTTTGACAACTTTTGGTCGCTCGAGCAAGACTTCAACCGCCATTGGCGAGCAGGCGACCGTCCATTTCAGGCACTGCTGCACAACAAGGGACCAAGGGAAACCTACATATAAAATTAAAGAAAGATCCGTTTGATGCTTCCCGGAGAAATAGCAATAACAAACTTTCACTATCAAAATCCAAGATGGCTGCCTGTCAGCCATGTTGTTTATATGATCAGTTTCAAAAGTTGCCCTGCACACCTAAGGACCAAGGGGAACCTACTTATAAAATTTGAGAAAGATCCCTTTGGTACTTCTTGAGAAATACCGATAAAAAGAATTGTTTAAGGACGGACCACGGACCACGGACCACTGACCACAGACGCAGGGTGATTTGATCGATGAATAGCCAACCACCAGATGATGGTGGGCTAAAAAGTTGACGGACGGACGACGGACAACAGATGGACGACAGACAAGGTGCTAGGTGAGCTAACAAGAGGCCCACGGGCCTTAACGGTCACCTGACATACAATTAAAATTAGGACTGTCATCCAGGGGCCATACTTTCGTATGGCCCCTGGATGACAAACTTTTCGTTGGTTCATACTTTTCGTTGGTCCGAGTGACCTTGCTGCATCGTCCATTAATTTTTCCTTGTAAACACAATAACTTCAGTAAATATGAACCGATTTTGATGAAACTTTGTATGCAGCTTTGTATCAATGAGATCTTAGATGAGTTTGAATACCAGACCATAACTTACATAGTTATTCCCCTTGGTAATTCTATTATTGTTGGACCCTGTGAACACGATAACTGAAATAAATGGGTGTGACTCCAACTTTGACCCAAGGGGTCTGTTTTGAACAAACTTGGTAACTGTATGTCTTCTGTTCTTGATTAAAAGAAACAAGTAAAAGCGTAAATCAATGATTTATCAAATAAGGCACAAAATTTAAATAGCACCTTGTAAGTAGCAAAAATGCGTCAAGAATGAAAAAAAAGGTGTACCACATGAATTTACATCTATTCTTGTGTAATGTCAATCAACATCACAGGGACAAATAATAATATAATGACAAAGGGCAATAACTCTGCAAGTTACTGTCATATAATTACCGGACATAGTTTCATTGAACTCCGTCAACATTTATTCAAGTTATCGTGTTTACAAGGTCCAATAATAATATTATTACAAAGGGCAATAACTCTGTAAGTTACTATCGAATAATTCCCATTTTTGAAGTCATCCGAGATCTTTTTGATATATGGCTGCATACAAAGTTTCATCAAACTCAGTTAACATTTACTCAAGTTATTGTGTTCACAAGATCCAATAATAATAATATTACAAAGGGCAATAACTCTGTAAGTAACTGTCGAATAATTCCCATTTTCGAACTCGTCCGAGATCTTATTAATATATTGCTGCATACAAAGTTTCATCAAACTCGGTTTACATTTACTGAAGTTATCATGTTCACAAGGAAAAATTAACACACGACGCACGACGGACGACGACGGACAAAAAGCTATCACAATAGGTTACCATGACCATAAAAGTTTATAAAACAGTGCTACTAAACATGTAAAACATACATACACCCCTACTACTAAACATGTAAAACATACATACACCCCTGCTACTAAACATGTAAAACATACATACACCCCTATTACTAAACATGTAAAACATACATACACCCCTGCTACTAAACTTGTAAAAAAAACATACACCCCTGCTACTAAACATGTAAAACATACATACACCCTATACTACTAAACATGTATAACATACATATGCCCCTGCTACTAAACATGTAAAACATACATACACCCCTGCTACTAAACATGTAAAACATACATACACCCCTACTACTAAACATGTAAAACATACATACACCCCTACTACTAAACATGTAAAACATACATACCCCCTTACTACTAAACATGTAAAACATACATACACCCCTACTACTCAACATGTAAAACATACATACATACACCCCTGCTACTAAACATGTAAAACATGCATACTCCCCTGCTACTAAACATCTGAAACATACATACACCCCTGCAACTAAACATGTAAAACATACATACACCCCTACTACTAAACATGTAAAACATACATACCCCCTTACTACTAAACATGTAAAACATACATACACCCCTACTACTCAACATGTAAAACATACATACATACACCCCTGCTACTAAACATGTAAAACATGCATAGACCCCTGCTACTAAACATCTGAAACATACATACACCCCTGCTACTAAACATGTAAAAAAAACATACACCCCTGCTACTAAACATGTAAAACATACATACACCTCTGCTACTAAACATGTAAAACATACATACACCCCTACTACTAAACATGAAAAAACATACATACACCCCTACTACTTAACATGTAAAACATACATACGCCCCTGCTCCCAAACATTTAAAACATACATACACCCCTGCTACTAAACATTTAAAACATACATACACCCCTGCTACTAAACATGTAAAACATACATACACCTCTGCTACTAAACATGCAAAACATACATACACCCCTACTACTAAACATGTAAAACATACATACACCCTATACTACTAAACATGTATAACATACATACGCCCCTGCTACTAAAGATGTAAAACATACATACACACCTGCTACTAAACATGTATAACATACATACACCCCTGCTACTAAACATGTAAAACATGCATACACCCCTGCTATTAAACATCTGAAACATACATACACCTCTGCTACTAAACATCTGAAACATCCATACACCTGTGCTATTAAACATGTAAAACATACATACCCCCTGCTACTAAACATCTGAAACATACATACACCCCTGCTACTAAACATGTAAAACATACATACACCTCTGCCACTAAACATCTGAAACATACATAAACCCCTGCTACTAAACATTTAAAATATACATACACCCCTGCTGCTAAACATGTAAAACATTCATACACCCCTGCTACTAAGCATGTAAAACATACAGACGCCCCTGCTCCCAATCATTTAAAACATACATACCCCCCTACTACTAAACATGAAAAACATACATACACCCTATACTACTAAACATGTATAACATACATACGCCCCTATTACTAAACATGTAAAACATACATTCACCCCTGCTACTAAACATTTAAAACATACATACACCCCTGCTACTAAACATGTAAATCATACATACACCCCTATTACTAAACATGTAAAACATACATACGCCCCTGCTCCCAAACATTTAAAACATACATACACCCCTGCTACTAAACATTTACAACATACATACACCCCTGCTACTAAACATGTAAAACATTCATGCACCCCTACTACTAAACATGTAAAACATTCATACCCCCCTGCTACTAAACATGTAAAACATACATACCCCCCTGCTACTACGCATGTAAAACATACATGCACCCCTACTACTCAACATGCAAAACATACATACATACACCCCTGCTACTAAACATGTAAAGCATACATACACCCCTGCTACTAAACATGTAAATCATACGTACACCCCTATTACTAAACATGTAAAACATACATACACCCCTTCTACTAAACATGTAAAACATACATGCACCCCTACTACTCAACATGCAAAACATACATACATACACCCCTGCTACTAAACATGTAAAGCATACATACACCCCTGCTACTAAACATGTAAAGCATACATACACCCCTGCTACTAAACATGTAAAACATACATACACCCCTGCTACTAAACATGTAAAACATACATGCACCCCTACTACTAAACATGTAAAACATACATACACCCCTGCTACCAAACATCTGTTTTCTGAGGTCAGTGAAGTCACAGTGACCTATATTTTATATAGTATCCACATAGGAAGATCGATGACATTTCAGTATCCAGTATAAGAGTAACAAAGATCAATACAAAGTCCTATCTCAGCAAGAATGGACAGAAAAGGCAAACATTTCACGCCCATTCCACAGAGAGTTTTTTTCTGTTATTATTTGAGTATGATGAAAGTGAACACAAAGTGTACCTGGTTTGTTTGGTTCCAGGTACCCTGATATGGAACTGACACTTTCATGTCGGTCGAATACACTGTTGCCAGCAGAACGTGAGCAGCGTCGTTTCTTTAGGAAGCTGGTGCGGCGAGCCATACGAGCGAAGGGTGAGGCAGAGGAATTGTTGGCATAGTAGGCCTTATAGTGTTTGTCTAGGTGCATTGTCCATGTAGCAGTTGAGCTGAAGCCAGCCTCTGCAGCATAACACCGCCACAAGCTCTGAAATAAACACACAAAGTCAATAATGATGAGAAAAAACCCAGTCAGTATGTGCACAAAGCTGCATAACATTTGTATCAGCCCTGTACCTGTCACAGTGATATACTTGTAATTAGTCTGTACCTGTCCCAGTGATATACTTGTAATTAGTCTGTACCTGTCACAGTGACATACCTGTAATCAGTCCTGTACCTGTCCCAGTGATATACCTGTAATTAGTCTGTACCTGTCCGAGTGATATACTTGTAATTAGTCTGTACCTGTCCCAGTGATATACCTGTAATCAGTCCTGTACCTGTCCCAGTGATATACCTGTAATTAGTCTGTACCTGTCCCAGTGATATACTTGTAATTAGTCTGTACCTGTC